CAAGACAGCACATTTTTATCGTCCGCCCCACGAGTTTAGTACTGTCGCCCTTGAAATGAAGCCGTTAATCGCCAGGAAGCGGCAGAGATCAGCTTAAAGCCCGACTCAAAACGGTCCGTCGGGACATGAAGGTGATTCTGGGAACTGCAGCAGTCGAACCCCAGTAATGGAAAAGATAGCATTTTGAGTCTCAGCAAGCATGGATTCGCACTGTCATACATAGGAAAAGTATGTAAATCTTAAAATTATTCAAAAAATAATTTAGCACATGAACAGAAGGAGACGAAAAATAGGTGACAAACTCACATCCATCATAACGTTTGACGCCTCTTTTCCCATCGGGCAGGTCAACAAGGCAGAGAATATTGCTATTATGGATAGCAACTTCCAGGTCCGATACAGTTGTACCGATGGACGCTAAACGAGGAGCCTGCACTAGTTTGTCCACAGAAACAGCTGTATTTTCTATCATCATACGACGTATCGTCTGGTCACGGTCGAGGTTGTCGCGGGAGAAATAGTAGTGGCTGTAAGCGTGGGAAGCAGATAATAAGCAGGACTTAACTCCAGAAAGGCGAGGCGGAAAAATTCGCCACCGAAAAGAAGTGGGCAAAAAATTTCAAAAGTTCATATCACGATGAGACAGATGATGCACCTTTGAATAATAACTGAAGACGTTTAATTTTCTGTATGATAATGTCGATTTCAACTTAGGAATATAACTGATCCTAAAACAATCCCAGAACATATGCATCACGCATCGAAACTCCTTAGCCATATCTTCAGGCATTAAGTGCTGAATCCCGAAGCTTACTCGTGGGAATTTGTGGTAATTACTGACACAAGGCTAACTAATACTTCATATCATGCCGGGAACCTTCCCAACCGTTGACAGTCCAAAATGGCACAGTCCAAAAATAGTAACCCAATGAGTGTGCATCTCCCCCGTGGATATAAATGAACCATGTGGATTCAATTAAACTTTTCGGGAAGGGAAAAACAAACTGTGTAATTATTGAAGCATGTAACCAATTAAATCATTTACGTCGACGCACCAACCTCCAGTGAGCGTACAGAGCGGTGCGCAGCCATTTCCACACGTGTAACATTTGACTGTAACGCCCTAGAGAAACAACATTTACAGGGTTGCTTACGTCCGTGATGATGGACTCTTGTAGAGATTTTCAAGATCAGATGTGGTCCCGGTGCTCACCCAGTCTTCCGTCTTTTGCCTAGGACCACGCATACATTTTGCAACATAAAATACCTTTTAGCGTGACCCTACGATTTCAAAGATTTAACTGTCTATCACCTAGGCAGAAGACTAACTGATACCTGCAATTATCGGAATAAACATGGACCAGCTTGCGCACGTTGTAAAGGCGTTAGTGGACATTTGGACGTGACTATTCGTGCAGGCATCCAAAAAAACTTCATAACTACAATTTCTTTTCAAAATCTAAGTACAAATAATCCTAGCTACATTTCAAGACATCACCTCTATAAAATTGTTGCACTTATTTTTAGACAAATACGGAATTTTGGCAGATCTAGAACCTCAACCGAAAAATGCATCGCGCCCAGGTAAAGGTTTCTTCGAGGTTTTTTAACCTAGATGTCTGAAAGAAACCTCAAGCACAGGCAAACATCACCGGGCACACGAAGGACCTACAGATCTCCGTCATAGTTTCGTAAACTTCGGTGTGTACCGGCTAATTCTAATCAGATAAGTGGACAGTATCATAGTAGCTGTTTGACCCACAAGTAGTAATAAGGCTCAAAGGACATAATAAACGCAGGTAGCTGGCACGGCAAGGAACAACACCTCGGTGTGCCGCCACAACGCCTGGTTTACGCGGAGGATCGGGATTTCACACGAGGATATGAGGGGAGTTCGGATCCCAATTAAGTGGGTGGCTCTCTTTCCTCAGAGAAGAACCGATCTATCCGTCAGCTAGCAGCCTTGCGCGCCACGGCTTTTGACGCGCCGTGACAGGTTTGAGTGTGCCAGATTGTTCGTAGTGAGGAAGATATTTTGAGTTATTCGACCTCATTCTTTCTTCCCTTTTCCCGGACACCAAACCACTGGAGAGCCGCTCAGTTATCTAATACGGATATTGGGCGGTTGTCAAAGTTAGAGTTCGGTCCACGCGTGCTTTATAGATGATCTGGTTCCCACACAGAGCACACCAGAATATTACCTGCCGTGGATGAGCAACTCGGATTCCATATGTGAAAGAGCCACATAGGCCACAGTAAGAAGATAACGCAGGTTGATTTAGTCTACTAGTCGGCCACTCCACACATAATGGGCTGACTGTGGGGTCTTGATGGCGGTGGTCACCACGTATTTTTCTTCAACCAACTGCTTTCCGAATAGTTGTGGAGGAGATCTCGTAAGGGAGGGGAACTCTAAAGATACTTTTAACAAAACGGTTACTGCCCAAAAAGTCTAGACATAGAATGCTCAAGGGTTTAGCAATACAGCTGCGATATTTAGCCACTTATGGGGTGTTTCCTGATGAAACCTCAACTATAAATGTTAGTTTAAGAACTCATCTAAGAATAATGAAAAACTCCAGAGGCGGGTACTCAGGGTATAAGGTTTTAGACTAGACAATAAATATTTTTGTAAGCGACTATAGAAAATCTACCAATTTCAGGGAAACAATGTGCAACTTTTATACCTGACGATTTCAGAGGTCAACAGTATTATTAACAGTTCGGTGACCCGAATTATAAAGATTCAAACAGTATAGTTGTGTGCTGAAATTGAATACTTAAACGGACTTCTTCGCACAGAAATTGTGCTCGAATTTGCAAAAAAACGTATGTCAGTGTTTTCGGTAACTTTGAACAAAATTATGTGCGAGGAGGAACTTCTGAATGCACTGCTAAACCGAGGTTGAAAAGTAACAACACAGGCGAGCACAATCTCGTGCTCCTTAGTCCTAGTAGAGCGATATACAGTACTCGCCGGCTATTAAGCCCAGCTCGGGCCCAGACCACATTGGGCTTAATAAGCGGCGGGCGCACTAACTGGAGAGTCCTAGTTCTTGATTAGCAAAAGCAGGATAGGCC